CCCCACTGACTCTCCCAGGGCATGGGGTGAGACCCTGGGGATGGGGAGTGACTCTGGGGTTGTGGGGTGAGACCTTGGGGATGAGGGGTGAGACCTTGGGGACGTGTGGTGAGACCTTGGGTTGTGGGGTGACTCTGGGGTTGTGGGGTGAGCCCTGGGGATGTGGGGTGAGCCCTGGGGACATGGGGTGAGACCCTGGGGAAATGTGGTGAGCCCCAAGGATGTGGGGTGACCCTGGGGACATGGGGTGAGCCCCTTTTCCCAAGGATGTGGAGTGACCCTGGGGACATGTGGTGAGACTCTGGGGACATGTGGTGAGCCCCAAGGATGTGGGGTGACCCTGGGGACATGTGGTGAGCCCTTGGTAACATGGGCTGAGCCCCTGGGGACATAGGGTGAGCTCCTGGGTTATGGGATAACCCCTGGGGACATGAGAGCAACTCTCTGGGGATGTGGGATGAGCCCTTGAGGACATAGAGTGAGTCCTGGAGATATGGGGTGACCCTGGGGACATGGGGTGACTCCCAAACAGCATGAGGTGAGTACTATGAGCATGGGGTAATCCTTGGAGATGTGGGGTGAACCCCTGGGAGGCATCGAATGAGTCCTGGGGACACGAGGTGAGCCCTGAGGATGTGGGGTGAGCCCGGGGAGTGTGGGGTGAACCATGGGGTACCAGAGATCCCCTGGGAATGTGGGGTGAGCCCTGAGGGAATGAGGTAAACCCAGAGGATGTGGAAGGTCTCCGGGGATCATGGGGTACCTCTGGGGTTGTGGGGTGAGCCCTGGGGATATGGGGTAACCCCCCAGGGACGTGGAGCCCAGGGGGGGCCATGCCAGACCCTTACAGGACCAGCAGCAGCTGCACACTTACCTTCCTGCTCAACAGTAGGGAGGGCAGTGGTGACCACTTCGGTGGCCTGGGAGGGCTGGTCCCTGCTGTCTGTCACTGCTGGGACAAGCATGGGGACACATGGGTGTTGGGGGGGGTCCAGTTCCAGCACCCACTGCCCCCAGTCCAGCTGGCACCATGGTGACCCCATGGCAAGCTCCTGCTGTGGACAGTGTCACCCCCTGAGCCTCACCTACGTGTGGTGGGACACCAGGGTGACCATGCTGAGGTCATGGGAGGACACAGAAGACTCGGTTGCCCCCCAGGGAGCCCCCAGCCCTGGCTGTGATGCAGGGGTAAGCCAGGTGGCTGCCAGCCTCCTACCTGTGGCTGTGGCAGTGAGCGTCTCTTCATAGTCCAGGGCCACTGAGGTGGTGAAGGACGTTATGGTGGACGTGTCCAGCCCTGCAGTGACACAGAGGGACAGAGGTGACATGCAGGGAGAAACTGCAAAGTTGTGAACTCACTGACTCCAGGAGGCAGATGTAGGGTGGTCTGGATGCTTCAGGATAATGGGGATGGAGGTGGCCCATGTCCACCTGCACATCTTTGATACGACAGGAGGAAATAGCCTCAAGTTGCTCCAGGGGAGGTTTAGGTTGGATATTAGGAAAAATTTCTTCACTGAAAGGGTTGTCAAACATTGGAACAGGCTGCCCAGGGAGGAGGTGGTGGAGTCACCATCCCCAGAAGCAGTTAAAAGTCCTGTAGGTGTGGTGCTTAGGGACGTGGTTTAGTGGCACAGTGGTGTTGGGTTGATGGTTGGACTTGATGATCTTAGAGGTCTTTTCCAACCTTAATGATTCTATGATCCCTGCTGCCCACATGCTGGAGATGGTGCTTCTTCATCCCAACCCAAGCGCTGAGGTCCTACCTGCAGTGCTGAGGTGTCCCTCACTTCTCCAATCACTCAGGAGGTTAATCAGTTAAGGTTCATTAGCTCTAAAGCCTCGTTTTACCCTTGCCCCACTGAGCAAGGACCACGTGTGGTGGTGCCATCAGCTCTATTCTGGGGTGAGATGCCAGAGGGGCTGGGGATATTTAGGGAGGAAAAGACCAGCCTGAGAAAATTGTCTAGTCCAAGGGTTGTTGTGAGGAGCATTTAATTCCCAGGTGGAGGTGGCGTTCATAGAACAGTTGAGGTTGGAAGGGACCTTAAAGATCATCCAGTTCCAACCCCCCTGCCGTCAGCAGGGACACCTTCCACTAGACCAGGTTGCTCAAAGCCTCATCCAGCCTGGCCTTCAACACTTCCAGGGAGGAGCAGCCACAGCTTCTCTGGGCAGAAATACAGTGTTAGG